ACTCTGTACAAAGATCGATGATCCTCCAAGTGTGTGTTACATTTCCTTGGATAAATCCACGTCTCATTTATTAATGACAGATTGCTGAAAACTTACTGCTGACAAGGATTTTCTTCTCCTGTAGCAGCAATACTCAGGTGGATGTACTGAAACACCAGAATATAGTTGCTTTCAGAAGCAAAGCATAGCATAAGGTCTGTAGCAGGGAAGAGGGAATCAGTGGCCTTCCAAAGATTGGATAACAACTTCCAGCAGCTCTAGCCACCAGGGCCAGTGGTGCAGCTGCTTGTTACTGAAGTTCAGCAATATCTGGAGGGTCACACATTCCCTGTTCCTGCTATCATGTGCATGTTCTTCATATATTGTGCAGTGTAACCTTCATCTCCCTTCCCTTTCCAAGTCATAACTTCAGCCCTAGTCCTGAAATGCTTTGCTATGGTAGGCTCCACTATCATTCCCTCTAACACGAATGGTAAGCATGAACAGAGTAAGATCCAATGAACAAACCTGTCAAGAACGGTGTCTGCAGGAACCATGTGTGTATGCACAAACCTAACTGTGCAGGTGGGGGAGGCATAATACACCGCAGAGGACTGGAAAAGCTCAGTAATCACAGAATGTTTATTTATTTATACTTTGATTTATATGTCACCTACTACTGTAGTCTTAAGGCAGCTGAAAGTTGAATTATCAGTGGGAAAAGAGAGAAGAATGGCACTAACTGGGTGATTTTGAGCCAGACCCAGGCTTTCAGCCAAACCCACCTCACAGGGTTGTTGTGAGGGTAAATGGAGAGGAAGAGAACCTTGTTAGTTGCCTTGGGTTCCTTGCTGTCAGGGTTCAGGGCCAGGACATGGAGCTTGCTCTGGTGAGCTTGTTCCCAGCTGGCCCTCAGCAGGGGTTGGGATGGATCCTGCCATTACTGAAATAAGAACCCAGCTCCTGACACTTGTCAAAGAAAAGTGGTACATAAATGCAAACTACTACTACTATTAATAATAGCAATGCAGTTCCTTACCCCACGGACACATTTGTAATATAAATTAATAATTCTGGCAAACTTCTACGAAATGGCTCCCCGAAGGATGTGGTTAGTCACACACTGGCTGCCCTGCTGGTCAGGAAAAGGCGGAAGGGGGCTGGTGAGAGGCTCCGGGAAGCGAGGTTGGGGAAACCAGCGCAGTCACGGGTACGAGGAGAAGGAGCGAGGCTGGGGGCTGAAAGCCGTAGAAACGGCACAATAAAGAACTGAGCGGGGGAGAAAGAGCAAGGCTAGCGGCTCGGCGCAGAGGGAAAGCAGGGAGAGCGCACGGCTACAGAGAACGGCGAGAAAGCTGCAGCTTCAGCCGTTGCCGCTTCACACGAATTCACCGAATCCCGCCGAGCCACTTCAGCAGTTACGGAGCTGCGCCTATAGAGCCTTCCAGTACTTCCCCGCTCTCTCCTCTAGAGGGCGGGACTGCGCCCCCTGCAATCCGCAGCCAACCCCTCCCGCCGCGCCACACCGGAATCAGCCTCGTCTTCCGAGTCTGACAGCGGAGAAATCCGGAGCGAGCCTGTCGGAAACTTCCGGTTTCTCGTTGAAACCGGGACAGGAACGGTGGAATTCATAGAGATCAATTTAAACTCTTCAATACGACAGGCAAGAGCGGAAAAGCTTTTTTTCGTCGCAGTTTATTAAAGAATCAAGCCACCCCATCCACAACAGAGAAAAAAGAAATCTTAAGAGGATAAAACATGGAAATCCCAGCCCATTTTTCTGGCATTATTGGCTGTCTCTTTAAACGTATCGTGGCAGGCAGAAATTCAACAGATGGAAGAATAAATAGCCAGGTGCCCTCCAAACGTTTCGCACTGCAACTCCTGCCAGATCCAGCCTGCGTAGCCATGCGTTAAGGATAATGGGAACTGTAGTCCAAAACATTTGGTGAGCACTGGTTTCCCTTCTTCGAAGTCACGCGAACTGTCAGGTTGCTTTTGCTGCACTGGCATAAAACCAACTACAAAGGACGGGCAGACAGGAAATTGCCAGCCATCTGCGTAGCAGACCGACAGTCAACTGGTGGAGCGCGTCGTTTTCACTCGGATACACGTCATGGCTTTCCAGTTCTGGGAACGTATTACGCCCAGATGTCACTTTACTTTTAGCTTCTTGAAAGAGCATCCTACCATTAAAAAAGAAAAACCGGGTATGCTAAATTTGCAGAATGTTTATTCTTCGTCATTTTCATTGATAAAAACTCTTCTCTGCTGCCTTCGTCCAACTCGCCAAAAGCACGACCACCTTCAGAGCTAGAAGCCAATGAAGAAATGGGATCAGGGAGCGCGGTTATCGCAAACTCCTTCCGTGACACAGGAGCGAACTCAAACCACGGTTTTCTTTTGAGTTTCTTTTTACTTGAGTTTCTTTTTTACTTCTTTTTACTTTACTACTAGGAACAGCAGCCTAGCCATGGCAATTGGGAACCGGAAGTGAAAGGGTGTGGAAGTTTGCGGGGTTCCTTTAAAAATCTCTCTTTGGAGCTAGGGAGAAGGTACTGCGGCATGGCCGGAACTCGAAACGCCCCCCGGGATTAGCGCGCTGTTGCCATGGCAACTCGTAAGCGTCGGCTGTGCTTGCTTTCTGCTCCCCCGAGGACAATAGGGAGAGCGCGGGGCGTGCCGCTTGCTTAGGGGCGGAGTCAGAATGCATGTGCGGAATGAGGGTCACACTCACGGGCAGACCTTTTGGCGGAGGATCAGGAGGTCCGCGAACGCAGCCCGACTGATTTTGCCTTCTGACTCAGTCCTGCTTTTTCTACTATCTAGCCATCTAGGACGCGGCAACCCGGTGCCGCTTCTACACACCCTTCCCAGCATGGCTATCCATAAGGGATTATGGGAGATGTAGTCCAGAACATCTCCAAGGCACTAGGTTGCCTAATCCTGGATGAAGGATCTTGGAGACCTGACTTGATGCATATTTTGGCTGGTTTTAATAAAAGTACAACTATTAATAACTACGGGTTTTGGAGTTTTTATTTTTAAGGAACCGCACAGATATCCTTGCCTTTGTGTGTGCACGATTTGACAAATGCCATATTTAGCTGGGTAGAGTGGAATCTACCACATTTTCTATCACATGAAGGATTTTGAACTGAGGGCTCCATCTCATCCAGCCATTATGTAGTACTCACAGCATACCCTCAAATATTACATGAAGATTCAAAGTAAATAAGAACTGTTACGTTTCCCGGCACATCAAGTTCCTCCAAATGCTTTTTGTCCATGATCCGCAGAGTATGGAACCAATTTATGATGAATTTTGTTTAAACCCAGACAGCATCTGAGAAGAAATACATTTTCCGAGTTTTTAATCTTAGTTATTTCTGTCAACAAAAGGAAGTATCAAATTATTACCTTCATACATATGTAGTAGAACTAACCCAGTCAGAATCCTATCAGTTTGGATCCTTGTCACACTATGCCATTCCCCCACTCCCCTTCAGTATAAAGAGCACAAAAGGTGTTTTTTTCTTCTTTCTTCTTCTCATAAGACTGTAAGAGCCATGGTAGATCAGAACAAACTATCTAGTCAGGCATTCAGTTCAGTGGTCAACTCGTGGTGTATGGGATCTAGAAGAAGGACATAAATACAGCAACCTCTGATACAGAAACCCACCAGGACTAATACACATTGGTAGCTCTATCCTCCATCAATTTGTCTAATGCCTTTTTCAAAACTGTCCAAATTGGTGGTCATCTGATGGAAGCTAATTCTATAGTTTAACTATGCGCTGTGTGAAACACTTATTTCTCTGTCCTGAATCTCCACCAATCGGCTTCATGGGATAACCTCCAGGTTCTAATAATATGAGAGAGAAAAATGTCTACCCACCTACCTTTTTCCACATCATGCACAATTTGGTACAACTTGTTTTCCTAGGGAACATACTTTCTTCTCTGATAGAATGATAGTTCACTTTCACATGAGACTTAGTGGAATAATTTAGTATCTATATGTAAAATGTAAGGATTAGTCAATAAAGTTTCTTGGCACTATTTCTTTATCTTGAATCCTTAATAAAAGTCTGAATTAAACTTATGGAAATACTTTGCAAACTTCTCATGTCTTGCCTATTAATTGTTCAAACTCCAAATTCAATTGTAACCATCCAGCACGGGAATGGAAACAGCTGAGGGAATGGTTTCTTCCTCCTCAAATCTGCTCTGGAGAGTTGTAGACATTTTGAAATAGATTTGGGAGATTGCAGGAAGAACAACAAAATACATTTCTTTATAAGAGGCTTGATTTAAGTCCAAACTTGAAAGAATTAAAGGTAATCTGCTAACAGCTGTGCCCCCTTTTTCTGTAATGAAATGTAATGCAGTTTTATTTTTTATTATTATTATTATTATTATTATTATTATTATTATTATTATTATTATTATAACATTTCTATGCCGCCCCTTGCCGAAACCTCGGGGCGGCTTACAACATGATAAAATACATTGAAATAGTACATAATAAATTACCATTAAATATAAAAATACAAAAAATACATTGATTTACAAATACAAAATTAAAATTATCAGTATAAAATAAAAATATAGGATGAGAAAGAGAAGGAAGAAGAAGTTGCCCAGGCCAGATCATATGTTTTAACAATTGAAATGATGTTTAAATAAAAAGGTCTTTACCTGGCGCCGAAAAACCAGTAACGACGGTGCCAGGCGGACCTCTTTATTAGATTTCATGTGCCCAGATTTAGAAACATGAATGTGAAGGTGGCATTACTTCCGGCCTGTTTCTGCTTCACCAGAAGGTGGGAGTGTGAGTCTTTCTGTTATAGTTCTTAGCAATATGTAGGTGACACTGAATGAAGATTGACCAGATTGATCATGTATGCATTATGTACCCTCCAGACTGTGTTGCTACATTATAAAATGCAACTGTATTTGAAGAATACTCACAGATCCTAAGAGTACGTTTCAGCTGTACAAATAACTACTCAATAAACTATTCTTGATCACAGCTCTTTATTTAATTATACAAAACTATTGACCAGTGGTTGAGCCTTTCATTTACAAATAACCTTTTAAACAAGTTGTTGAACTCAGCTGTACATTTAAGCATGCAACACACAATTTCCAGTTCTTTCAAAGGAATTACTTATTTGTCCTATCACACTGCATGCAGCATGATTTAGAAAAAGAAAAAGAACAATGCAATAATGATGTTATTTTACATGATATGCAGAAACAAACAAAACTCTTACAGGAATAAGTGCATTTGAGTAAGTGCATTCACATTTTGTCGTAACTTCTGGCTTTTCCTTACATATATTGTATGCATCAGACTAAACACTGGTCCTGTATAGCTTTAGTACACCAGCCCATTTTCAGCTAAAAATGTGTAACAGTATAAAAATCCAAGTAATGTGTTTAAATAAAAAAGGGGAGAGGTTTTTTTTTAAAAAATGCTAGTGAGAACTGCGTGAAAATAGAAGAAATTGAACAAGAATAGCAGAAGGCTATACATTTAAAAAGTGCTTTCCAGATTTCAGCCAAAGTTTAAATCTACCAAATGTTCATATGTGGCAGCCAGTAGAAGTATTATTTTTCCACAGGTTTCATCAAGAGTTGGGTACTAATCTTTTGATTCTTAGTCATTTTCTTGCAGGCATCCAACACATGCTTTTGTCCACAAAAGTTTGTCTTATGTTTTTATCTATGAAAACAAAAGTTAAGCCAAAATTGTCTGTTTGTGATGTTATTGTTTTATTATGGCTATTTTGTAGTATCACAAAGCATTGCAGCCTCATTGTAAGAATAAACATTCCAAAAATTGGAAATTTTGTTGTCATGATTAGATCTTGAAAGGAAAAAAATGATCTGTATTTGTAGTTTTGTGTTACCTTTTTTTCTGAAATTTAATGTTGTTAGTATAAGAGCTTACACAAATTTTAAGAATAAATATGGCACAACCTTGACATCATCTTTACAAATACATATCTCTGTGTGAACTCCATCAAGGCACTGTTACAATACTCAAGTATTTGATGACCTACTCTCAAAAGATGTCCCCAAACAGAGGATATATTAGAAACACAGTATTCAGTAATTTTAGAAGTATTATATTTACAATAGAATAAAAATCATGAAGAAACAACTGTTTAAGCAAATGACTACCATCATGGTAGATTAAACAAATATGTTTTAACTCTCATTTCACTTCATTAACATTGAATTGGCAAGATTTTCCCAAAGGCACCAGAGGGCAGTGAACAGTAAAATTATTTGTACAGGTTAGCTGTCAGAATGTTTTCATGAAAAGCGAGCATACTTTTCAGGGATGCCTAACAGTTAAAAACTAACTGAACATGTGAAACACAAGAAACACTGTGTATTGCAGGCTCCTAAAACTATTTTACACAAAACACAATTCTTTTAAATTACGTTAATGGTTACATGGTATATTAAAGGCTTATAGTGCATTTCTTTTAAACAGCCATAAACTGGCAATAACAAGCAATTTGAGTATTTTCTAAGGAAAGTCGTACATCATCAAGTGAGAAATCAGGTGCTCTTTAAATACTAAAGATCAGTAGGGAAGCCAATATCCTCTCATTTCTACAAACTGTACAATTACCGTCTCTTTAAAACTATATGAAGAAAACAGTCAATCTGAAGGAATTTAAGGTCATATACACATGCCTAAATGTTATACATTTCACAAACTAGGCCCATAATCATCCATATCATATAAAAAGTAATCAGTCAATAAATTCCTTTGTTCAGGAAAGTTATTAGAGAAAGAACAAAGTAGGAATTTGGGCTTTAAGGGCTGTGCTTTTCTGTATTTGACACAGGAGAATACTGAACTCCTGTAATTTAAGTTTGTAACAGTTTAAGAACCCTTCACTTGCTTTTAAAAAAAGGAGTAAGAAATGTCTTTGAAGGTTGCAATTGAAACATTTCTAGTTGTACCTTACAAAGGAAGTCTACAAACAAAACTTAAGAGCAAGCAGGCAAAGACAGAATATTGTATGACTGCATTCTCATACATAGGGCTAAGGCAGTGAAAGTAAAGTAATTATAGAAAGATTTAACTGATGGTTATTGTAGGATTCATAGCTTGTTACGAACACATAAACTGGCTTTTCATAATATATTTCTGTTCTACTGTCAGATACTTCACTGATTCACATGCACAAATGCAACAACTTCTGATCCAAAATATTTGGATCATGGCTGTGCAGGCTGAACCAGTCTGCTACAACTATATTAAATATCAATTTACTGCAGCACTTTAGAAACCTCATAATAACCTATAACAGAATTGGAGAAATGTTCCTCTGTATATTTAAGGGTCATCTTTCTTTTTTTTTCTTTAAAGATCTGGCAAGAACTCCACAAAGTAAAAGAAAAGGAGAAGATTGAAAAGATAAAGAAATGCAAATATTAATCAGAAATAAATTTCTTGATAAATATGTTTAATTCTAATGCAGTTATCTTACTTTGCTTAATCTATTTTGGGCTATATAAAAACAAAAAACTGACAGCATCTTAAAACCATCTGAATCCTACATAGGCCAACTGTGTGGCATGTATGCATCTCTTAATGAAAAGGTTTCTATTTGCTATAAAATTATATAGATCACGAAAGAATGGAGATTTGTGCTGTTCTACATATTACCATGCATCTTAAATTAGCACCCAATATGCTATCCAAAACAAACAAAGAATCAATACAGGTTTCAATTAATTTGGGTTTTGGAGTTTAATAGTTAATCAATCTAGTCCTGATTTGCATGGGTGATTTCAATTGCACAAATTCAACCAGTAAGTCTGTATTTTAACATACAGTAGTCACAGAGCAATGTACTAGGATTTGGGCATTGAGTGGCAGTTCCACTGGCTCCGGGATATTATTCTTGGAACTATGAGGTCGTCATCTAAGGCTATATATTGCACCATATTCAGACACAATTACATTCAGATGGTTCAAACTGATCTGGTAAATGCAATGTTTATGGAGGATGACATTTTAATTCTGCCTAGCATCCCAGGTACACAATTCAGAAAACCTAAATGACATCTAGCAAAGCTTCTATTTTTCCACCAAGTTAGTCTTCCACAGCCAGTACCAACTGCATCGCAGCATAAAGAGTTTCTGATGTTATTCAAAATACAAGCAACAGTTTGTCAAGAGGAGATGCAATTTAGCATACAAAATTATCCAAGCACTTCTCTGGACAGTTCTTATGGTATTTCTCATTAACTGACTAATGCTTTCAATGGAAGTCCATTTTCATAAACTGAAGAAAACAGCTAATTAATGACCACTAAAATATTGTGTGGTTAATGAAATGCTGATGGACTGATCACTTAATATCTTTTAATGGCAATGAACAGCTGAGCAGTCTATTTCTGGGCAAAAGTTAACTTTCCAAATAGGCATCACAGGATGCCAATTTCCATGAATGAATGAAGATTCCATTAAACTTTGAACAAGTCTTGAATTAGGATTCACTTGTCTTGCTAACATGACCACTTGGGATTATATAGTTATAATGAAAAAGATGCCTTCAATTCACATCCTAACATTTTGTACTGCTATTTATCATTACAGTCTACAACACTTAGGAAAATGCAAGGCAGTTTTCTGACATTTGAAAGATGCAAAAGAAAGTTACTGGCACATAAGCATTGTCCACATCATCTGGCTAGGACGGAATATAACAGATATTGCTCTATTTGAGCTCAGGTTTTAGAGGCAAAGGCCTGAAACCTCTGGGCTACTGTGTTTTAGGTAATATTGCCTTATATGATGCCAACCCAAGTTTAAAATCTGGTCCCACGTTGAAGACAATCATTTCAATTCATATAGTCTTCTGTCCAGGCATTCTATTTAAACAAGTAATTGATTATAAGCTGCAGCAGAATCAACAGTAAAATGAAGACATAGTGCTTGAATTGAAAGAAGCTATTCTCTGGAACTTGTGAGCTAGAAGTCATTCGGGTTCTTAGAGCCGTGATGTCCCTACAAAATAAGGTACACATGCAGATTACCAATTTTGATGTCTGCTACTGGCAAAATTACTAGTAAAGTTCAGGGACTATAGGACAGGCTTCCACCAACATGACAATTGATGTTGTCATGTCATGAGACACTTGGGCTGCAGAATTTCAGGAAAGACCACTGAATTAATTCACAGAATACTCCAAGAAAAATATGGAGTTTTAAAACATCAATTTACCCAGGAGTTGCATTATTTAAATCTGTTGAACTTACTGTAAATGAATACATTCTTGAGACATGAAGCTAGGAATCTCCTAGATAAATACTGATGAGCATCACTACTACATACTAAATGCAGTTCATAATTGCATTCTACAGCTTTTACACATGGACCTAAAGAATCAATCAGTACACTTGTTATTTACATGTTCTTCTCTAAGTGCTACAATTATTGGGAAGTAGCTAGTTTGAATACTTCTACACTATTTTGAAAAATTAGGTGTACAAAAATGCAAGTAGGTAGATGCACATGCATATATGAGTGTATAGAATTCTCTCAAATACTTGTTTTAAGGAGATGAGAACATAAAGTCTGGAAGCAAAAGAGGGTCAGTCAAACTGATGGAGTAGTTACCCTAAGGGGTCATTACAGTCACAGAAGTGCAGAAGGTGTACATTTTGCAGGCTTTAGTGCTTTAGTGCTACAGTTTGATGCTGAATAGATTTTGTATTCTTGAAAGGGAATATGGCCAAATGTTAAGAATTATATATAGACCTGCCCACCCCATTTTTCTCTCTTCTTGGTCCTACTTCATAACCTTATTACTCACAGCTGGAATGAAATCCCCACAGCATTTCCCAAACTAGAATTTGACTGCTGAACTGGAAAAGGTTTGACACTTGTGAGTGGTGTCATTTATGAATCAAACACAGAAAACACATTATGTTTATTTTATATAAAGCACTCAAAGTAAAAAAAATATTGAAAAACTTTTAAGAATACATACCTCCGAATGTCTTCCTGTGTTTCCTTTATAGATTCAATGGCACTTTGTAGTTCACCAAGGTCTAGTGTCTTCTTTCGAATTCTTGTATTGTGTTTGAGTTGTGCTACAGAAGTAATTAAAAAATAAAAGTGTAAACCATGTAAATCATTTCCAAAAGCTAGTTATTTAATGAACCAAACTAAGCTAGGGAGTTTTCTTTAGTTCATCTTTTCCTATAAGTCATGACAGAAAATTGTACTCAGTCCAAAGTAGTATCATTTCACAAACATTGAAAACTAAATGAAAATGAAGTTATGACACATATTTATGACATTCATGATAAACCTAACCAAAAGAAGGAAGGAGGAAGAGAACAGACATAACGGTTACCTTCACTTTCAGATGAGTCCTGATTATCAGGTTCTGGTGAAGAGAAGCCACACTCCCCTTTCTTAGATTTAGCAGACCTCTTTATCTTTGCCACACTAACCTGTAATTCATAAACACATAGCACTTATCAGCTCAGAAAAAAGGGTCTGAGTCCAGTTGTGATCCAAAAGGACACAGGGCAGCAATTTTTTCAGATTTCCTCTTCTCTCTGTTGGCCCTCAAGGTCATGTCTCACATTATTCAGGAACAGTGGGAAATTCCTGGGAACTCTGAAAGGTGGAGCTCAGGGAAGATCAAGATGCGTTTTACTGGATCTCTGCTTCCTCTGTGAAGGAAGGAGCCTTTCTATTCACACAGAAGGGCAATTTTGGAACTGCTTATATACTGCTTGTTTAATATTCTGCTTTCCTGTTTGAAATGGCTGTTTGGGCAAGTAAACCCAACCTTAAATATTTAAACAGTTGTCAATGTTTTAGAATAGAATCAAAGTAATTTACCTTCCTTGATTCTGTTACACAATCCACCTTTCTTACTAGGTAAGAGAGAAGGCTGCCATTAGACTTTTACTAACTTCCAAGCTAGTAAACAAGAATTAAAGAAATCATGAATCCTAAAGGAAATCTACAATTCTTTCTTATTCATTTCTGTACTTGACAAAAGTACACCCCACAAGAACATACCATTGGAGTTCGATGTCTGACTTTTGTCTGAATGGCACCATCTTTTTCAAATTGTACCATATCATTCAGTGGATCCCATGGTCTTGTGCTATAGAATGAATACAATGCAAGTAAATTGAAACAGTTTAAGAAGAGTATTTTTTCCATCCGTCGCCTCTAGATAAGTGCTCTTTAGAACAATTGCAAAATGAAGGATACTAGAATCTCATTCAAAGTTCTACAAATGACATATGTCAATTAGTCCTAGGCATCTCATCTGTGACTGAGAGTCCCTTCACACAGATGTAAAGATACCCTCGGTGATGAGAAAGTTTTCTTCAAAAGAGGCAAATATATTGGGCTGGATTCAGCATTTCCCCTGCCAGCTGGAATTCTACTTAAGACACTCAGGCCGGCAAGAAAATAGGAGGCAGGACCAGTACCACCTTTTATTATGCTGTTTCAGAGGAGTCTCTCCAGAACAGATCTTTGACATAAGAAATATCAGGTGAAGGACGGAAACCAAAGACTACTTCTCCTGCACTGCCAGTGGAAATGCTTCACTGGATCAGAAGCCTGCCAGGAATGGAAGAAATCTTTCTAGCTGTTGGAGGAAGGCTCTAGATCCAAGTCACTCACAGTAAACAGGCAGCTATGTTAAATTTCATTATCAAACTAAGAATCAATCAATTTCATCTGATATCCAGGTGAAATTTAAAGGAACAATACATTACCTTCTGACCTTCACTTCTTTCCCTTCCCCTTACTTTCGAACATTACTACCCTAATAATGTTGATGCTATTCAATCATGTTAATAGTGTTAAATGTCTATTGATTACTTAAAAGTGATCAGTTAGCATGTGATATGTGTTTACATGTCTGCTCAAACATTCAGCTAAGCCATTAGCTGCAATATGATTGTGAGCCAATTGTATACGGGGCATACCATTTGAAGACTCCTTGAAATTCATCATAGCAGAGTTACGCCCTTTGTCACTCACTAATCACACTGTCAATCCAAGTTGTCTAAACAAAGTACAAAAATGACCATTTTTTATTTTTTTCAACTATAATAATGGGATAAAAAAATGGGCAAAAGGGTGGCAGCCAGATGAATAACTGGGAACAGAAGTTTTGAACATGTAACACCCTTTCCAGGCTATTTGCATTAGCTGCCTGTATGCTTCTGAGCATGATTCATGGTGCTGGTTTTAACCAACAAAGCCTATACACCTTGGAACTGCCTGGTGGAACACCTCTTCCTATGGACACCATGATCAACATCTAAGCCTTCCTCCAAGTGCCACCTCCAAGGGATGCTTGGAGGCTGGCAACAAAGGGAAAGGGCCTTCTCAATCATGCCCCCATGACTATGGAATGTTTTCCACACTGAGGCCTGCTTGGCAGCAATACTGACATCTTTTCAGTGCCATGTTAACACCACGTTCTACTCTCAGGTGCTTCAATGTATTTAACAGCATATGGTGGGGCATTTATGTCATTTCATTTAACACATTTAGCATTTTTAATGAAATTATTTTTGCTGTTTGAATTATTTTAAATGTTTAGTTAAATGTTATGCCCCATTCTATTATCTATATTTGTGGTCTGTAATTTTATGAATTATAAACTGCCCAGAGAGCTTCAACTATTGGGTGGTATAGCATGAAATTACTACTGCTGCTATTTAAGTGAGTACACAGAACAATTGCCTCTCTCAAAACAGTAGGTGTATCATGGGAAAATCTCAGGCCATCATTGCTTTAGGGATGAGCAGTGTTCTTTCCACTTGGTATGTGCTATGTCAGATGTTGAATGGATGACCTTCTAAGCCATGAAAAAAAGCCTATGCAAAAGCAGCCTGAAGATTATTTTCAGCAACATGTGGATTGAAACATTTAGGATAAATCTTAAGTGTACGGAAGTGGAAACTAATGTGACTTTTGGTGCTTAACTCACCAAAAGAAGAAAACTCTGAGTTACCTGCCACTAAAAAAGTTAGCAATTTAGTCAGACGGTGAAATAACATTTAAGGTTATAAAACAGTCTTTTCATAAAGTCCTAAATGGTTTATGGAGTGGTTATTTAAGGGAACATCTTCCATACAAGCCAGCCCTGGCCCCGAGATCATCTGTGGTGTCCTTCTCCAAGAGCACTCCTTGAAGGAGATGAGGAGGGTTGTTATGAGGGGGGCCTTCTCTGCGATAGTGCCCCAATTATGGAGCTTGCTCCCCAGAGTGGTACGCTTGGAGCCAGTGCTTTATTTGTTCCAGCGCCAGGCCAAAACCTTTTCATTTTCCCAGTATTTTAATTGATAATGGTATTTTAATTAGCTGCATAAAGTGCTGGTACTTAGGAGTTTTTAACCATTTCATTGTTGTGATAACTGATTTTCATATTTATTTCTTCTGTATAAACTGTTTTGAGATTTTGTAATGATTTGACAGTATGTAAAAACTTTAAATGAACAAACAAACTATAAAGTTACTGGGCACAATCCAATGAAGATGTTAAACATTCTCAAATCCATCCTGGACTGTGATTACTATATGACCTCTAGTATCTTCAGTAGATGAAAAAGCAAAACAAATACTCCCCACACCCAGTCTCCGTGACTCACTCTGCATATCTGTAATTCCATTCTCCTGTGACTGGATCTGGCTCAAATAGTTTGCATACCCACTCTTCATCCTGGGCTTTCCTTTCTTTGGCAGCCTTTCTCTGTGCTTCCTCCAGGATGTATTTTTCCTGAGTTGCTTCTGCTTGATCTTTGTTGTTTATAGCTCGAGTCACATGTTGCCAAAGTCTGGAAGGTAACAGTAATGAAGTTGCAAAAGTCAGAATGCATTCAAGAAATATTAATCGCAAATTCTGATCAGTTATTTAAACTTGTAATTTCCCATTAGATTCCTGTTATTCTATTTCCATGTATATTTTTATTTTGTTTATTTAAAATATTTCTTAAGCACTTATCATCAAACCAATTCCAGGGTAATGTACTGAAGTATGAATAAAACATAAGAACATAAGAAGAGTCATGCTGGATCAGACAAAGGGTTCATCTAGTCCAGCCATTTGCTCAGACAGTGTCCAATCAGCTTCTCACAGAAAATGCACAAACAGGACATAAAGGCAACAGCACCCTGCAAAACATTTGACAGCAAACTGGTGTACACAGGGCTTGGATACTGGAAGTACTATACAGCCAGCAGGACTAGCAGACATTGACAGTTTTCCTATCCACAATGTGTCCAATCCCCTTTTCACTGGTAGGTATCACTACATCTTGTGGAAGTGAATTGCAAAGTTTAAGTACGCACTGCACGAAGAAGTGCTTCCACTGATCTGTCTTGAATCTCCCACCAGTCAGCTTCATGGGATGATCCTGGGTTCTAGCAGTATGAGGGAATGAGAAAAATGTCTTCCTATCCACTTTCTCCACAATATGCATAATTTGTAGACCTCTATCATGCCTCCGCTCACTTGGCTTTTAAACCAAACAATCCCAGCTGTTGTAATCTTTCCTCATAGAGGAGATGCTCTAGCCCCTTGATCATTTAATTTCCGCATAATTTCCAGCTCTACACTGGCCTTCTTTGGGTGCAGTGACCAGAACTATAGAGCAATCTTTCTGATGTTGTTTGTAATCCCTGTTGGCTTAGAACACTCTAAATAATTTGGTTTTGCAAGCATGTCCATTTTACTACTCTCTTCTACTTCCAGATCATTTATGAACAAATTAAAAGGCGCTTATCTCACTACAGAGCCGTGAGGAACCCAACTCTTTATATTCTTCTATTTCATATTCATTCCTACTCTGTTTCCTGTTCTTTAACCAGTTACTGATCCATAACAGGACTTCCCCTATCATTCCATGATGTTAAGTTTGCTCAGGACTGTGTGAAAAGCTGTTAGGAAATCTTAAAAGCCTTTTGAAAGTCATGTTTCTTGTCACTCCTAAAGAACTCTAAAAGGTTGGTTAGACAGGACTTTGTGGAAGTTTTGTTGATTCTTTTTCAGCATGGCTTGTCCTTCTATATGCTTATTAATTTTAATTTTAATAATGCTTTCAACCAAGTTATCCATAATGGAGCTAGCTGGATTGTAATTTCTGGCCCACTTTTTAAAAATTCATATTATGTTGGCCATTCTCCAGTCCTCTAGTACAGAGACTGATATTAGGGACATGTTATGTATTTTTGTTAGAAGATCAGTAATATAACATTTGAGTTGAAGGAATTTAATCCTTGTCAACTTATTTTTAATGGGTTCTCCCATTTTCAAGAATTTTTCTTTTTTAAAGTGTTAATAAATTTATATCCCACCTTTTTCTTAAAAAGAACTCAAAGTGGCTTACATCTCCTCTTCCGCTTTCAATCTTATTTTCACAACAACCCTTTGAGGTAGTTTAGCCTGAGAGTCTACGACTGGCCCAGAGTCACCCAGTTGGTTTCATGGGGACTAGAACCCAAATTGCCTGAGTCCCAGTCCTACATTCTTAACCACTATACCACACTGATTCTCATTTAGGGCACTGAGAAAATTCGGTGTGACTGCAACATGAACTTATCCAGTCATAGTCAACTGAAGTTCCTACTATAACACTTCCTCATTTTGAAGCCTCCCTGACTTTCTTTTCCATTTCAAGTTTACCCTGAGCACTCTGGTTTTGGGGGCAGGAGGAATAAATGTTCCTAATACTACATTTATTTAATTTATTTATTTAGAAGGCTTCTATGCTGCCCATTCGCCAAAGCCTCGAGGCGGCTCACAATAATAAATACAGTATAAAACAATATACATTACTTTTAGAGCTCACTATAGTCAGCCACAGAACTTTTGAAGAAGAGTATGCCCCCTTTTAGGTTTTCTAGTCTGCATGATATTATGCCCTCTTTGACAAACGGAGCAATACCTCCTCCAGCACAACCTTCCCTTTGCGTCCGATATAGTACATCTTCAGAGATGTTCATATCTCACTGGTTCTCTCTATTCTACTAATTTCCATAATGCCCACTATACCTACATTCTCCATTAAAACCAGGTGCTCCAATTCTCTCATGGAGTCCTTCCCCAGAAGCCTGTGGCATGTGCATCTTTACCTAAGGCTGGCACGCAGAACTCTGGCTATCATATTTCAGCAATATGCTCATGACCTATGTCTTCCCCATGTATTACCTGGGCAATCAGAAATGTTTTCTTCTTCTTTTCCTAAAGATGATTACACCTGAATTGGATGCTCTGGCAACTTTCCCCCCAGAATTCAATTTTAAAACTGCTCTGTAACCTTTTTCATGTTTAGCACCAGCAGTCTGGTTCCATTTTTGTTGAAATAGAGCCCATCCCTCTTGTACAGGCTTGGCTTCTCCCAATATGTTCCCCAATGCCTAACAAATCTGAACATATAAACACAATATAATCAAGGCAGAAGAATAGCCATAATAAAATATAACCAAGTAAACAGCTGCAAAAACAAAGCCCAAGATATAAACAAAATTCTTACAAGGAACTCCTCACCAGGTTACTGCTCCAGTTCCTGAATTCTTTTGCTAAGATATATTTTCCATTATTCTCCCTTCATCCTTCAGCCTTAGCTATACATTTCTTATTAGCTATTACACTTTAAGAATATGGGGTTAAGTCCACTTACTTCTCTGATTCAAAGTCACCTTGTTCCTCAAACTTCACTGTGTGTCTTCTTAATCTGTGCTGTCTGATCTCAGGTGTTGGATTCCAGAATGTCTCCAAAACATTTGTCTTTTTGTCCCTAATAATAACTTCACTGTCCTGTAATGTGTAACATATTAGATTTCTTGAGTAGACGAAGAGTAAACAATTTTACAAAGTCAATAAGAACAAAGACTTCCTTCAGAAAGTAACTTTTTGCAACCAAGTGGTTTGGTGCTGCCAGTTTGGCACACATGGTTGGTGACAGCTAAAAGTCACAACTGAAAATAGATCTCATATTGGCACCAAGAACTTAATTTAAGGGAACTGATGTATTCATTTTCAGTTAGATTTTAATCTTTGGCAAAGTACAGTAGTTTCCAAAGCTTTTTGCCAAGTGACCAGTCCACAGAGTTTAGCTTGCATCAAGGATCTTCTAATCAGTTCCTACTTCTAAAAGTAAAAACTACTAATGATGTCCTGTTACCCACTAGTGGCTCTCAGTACATCATTTGGAACACACTGACATGTTATGATGAAACAATTTAACTAGTTTTATGTTTATAATAATTTAAATTTCAACAATAATCCTTAACACTGGCTCTAGGAGTTTCATATAAAATGTTACCCCATTTCTGAAATTCTAGAAGAAAAAAATTCAATTTGACAATGATACCTTTCCAATAAATTTTATGAAAGGCCTTCTCTGCATCCAAAGAGATAATGGCAGTTATGTCAGCTCTATCCTTGTCTAGTGGACACAGAATTGCACCCTGGGTGCAATAATTTGCATTCAAACTTGAATGATCAGTTTTTGCTACAGTTATTCTGGACCAGGGGTCTAATATAAGCTGTTTATTGCAAATATAAGCTGTTTATTGCACAGGAAAACACATTTATAGGCAATGAACAGTTAGTGAGTGTTTCACATAGCAGTCAGTGATTACAGCAAAAACTAAACGTAAACTCTTATAAGTTTCTCTTAGAACTACACTGGATTATATTTTCCTCTTATCCCATCTGCCCTCTCTCACTTTCAGATCTCATTTTTACCTTTTATTTTCCCTTCTAACCAAAATTCAGTAAAAGAAAACTCACACCATCTTTATAAATGTATGTCAATTATTTATATGTGTGCGTGTGCGTGTGTGTGTGTGTGTGTGTGTGTGTTTTCATTTGGTCTCACAATATCAGCCAGTGTAATCTGGAACTGAAAAACTATATCCTACAATAAAATAGAGGACTTTATGTTATGTTCTCCTCTGACTCAACCTTACCACACTGTACTGAGCTTTCTCCTAATTCCCTAACATCCTATTATTAATCCTGCTCAGACAGCCAGGAGAGGCTAGCATTCTGCCTCAGCACATATTTTTTTGAGCAGGCAGGTGTGCGCAATTGCCATTCTGTAGGTGGCAGTTTGTAGGTTGGTCAAGTCCCTGAAAATGTATAATAGACTATTTAATCTGAACAGGAATAAGAGGACATAAGAGTTATCAAACTGGGGATTGGAGGTATCAGCCATGGTTAATAGCACTACATATAAATAATTTATTTAAATACAAATCACAGCTTACAGAGATATTTAACCAAAATAATGACAATAATTAAGGTAGTACTTACCCAGTGGCCTTCCAGAGTTGCTAGAACTTCTTTTCCCAGTTTAATTTTCCCTGATATTTGATTAACATTGTCATTGTTGCCCAAAAATGGCTGTTAAGGGGGGAAAAGTTTGAGAAATATGTGAAGAACTTAGACACTTTATAAAATGTTAAGAGATTTCTGGGCTGTCAGTCTAAATTGTTTAACATATGTTCATCCGGTATTATGCTTTCATATCTATCAAGTACAGAATACTCCTTCTATGGGAAGTATTTGAAGAACATGAACTATGAAGCAAAACTCTGTGAAGGTACCCTCCTTCTTCAGGAAAAAAAATGGAGCAAGACATAATAAGTTGATTAACTTTATGTGGTATTGCCTCCAAGTTAAAGGGATATTAAAAGTTAGTGATTACTACAAGGACTTGGGTTGGGTCCAGGGTTGCACTCAGCATAGATCTGCCAGCACTGGAGGAAGTGGATGGCAGGTATTCTTTTTCATTCTTTCTTGTCCTGCAACCCCCTGAAAAGCTGTTCCAGAAGATTGCAGGGCCATCCAAAAGAATTTGGAAGGTGGATGAAGGAGGAACTCTCTTCCAGAGAGGCTCTGCTGTGTCCTGAATCCCCTCTGAAAACAGAGGGTGTCCTTCCATTTGCAGAGAAACAGGCATAGATCCTATGACTGGAAACTAAATCTATTGGAAGGTTTTTTAAAAACCATATAACCCAAAGGTTACTTCCTATAGTTTAAAGACTGGGTCAATAAATAAATGCATTCCTTGTTCTGTGAAACTATTAGAATGGATGTACTACTTTGTAAAAATTCAAATCACTGTGAACTAACCATACAGAACATTGTGTGAATGAAATATTTAATTTTTCTGATTCTTTTATGATGGGCAAAACCCTAAATTACTATTGAGCATTATCTAACCTAATATTAGATGAGTAATTTTCAGGCACAAAGCAATACAATTTTCTTTTAAAAATCAAACTAGCTTTGAACATTAGGATTTTGTATCTGCCAATTTTTCAGCATTAAATCCTCTATTGCCTATTAATGGGACTGACTAACCTTCAGTTTGAATTCAAGTGCTGCACTGTATCCAGTTTTCTCACATGCAATGCTAACAGTTCCCCCAAGCTCTAAAGTCATAGTTCCATACAGAATTCCTGAAAGAAAAATAAATGAGTTATTCTTAGTTTTGTTATGAAAACCCTTGTACCAGATGCTTTTATTTTTACACATAACTAAATACCATACCATACCATAAATAGCATACCATAACCCAAGTCTTTTATTACAGTGCAAAATATTTGTTGCTGTTGGTCATGAAGTCGTGTCCGACCCATCACGACCCCATGAACAACATTCCGGCTTACCACAAATGGGAGACGAGAAAGAAAAATCTACCACTATAGCTCTACTTCATTCCTTTTCTTTAGAAAGCCTACACGTGTCACAAGCCAAGTAGCCCTGAAGTTACCGAACCATGAATAAAACTGGAAGGGGGTCCTACAAGAACTTACAAACAAAGTTTGAAGCCTGGAACCTATATTATGATCTGCCCCTTTTTGCTTTCTGTCCTCATCCAAGCAACCATGTGTGTGAGGTTAGACACTGCCTCTCCCTTGAACATCTCTGCTTATTAGATTGCGTGAGTGAGTGACAGCCTATTTCCTTCCCTTGTAGAATGTTTTGGAGAATGACAGAAGTAGCAGAAGGAGCCTCTTGCTGTTGCTTTCCATTGCCAATGCATCATAACTAGGAGAGAAGATTTAACTTCTCTCTCCAACACTCTAGCAAGCACAGAGAGCTTGAAAAAAATGGGGAGACGCTTAAGCTACAGCTGAAATAAGAAAAGCAACAATATGCATTTCCCTCATTTCTTATTCACACCTCTGTGAGAATCAGACCAGAGTCTAACCTCTGTTCCAAACCCTCGGTGCCTGGATACAGGCTTGCAGATGCCTAGAAGAAAAGGAGTACCTTTACAATGTGCATATGGCATGGTCATTACATACTCCTCTCCTCTGTTTAGGAACATCAGTCGCCCTTCACCATCCAGAATGGCAGATAATGAATTTCCTGAAACACAATGATATTGGAGATTCAAAAAGTAAAGAAAAGATTCAACAGTCTGGATAATCTCCTTACAGGAAATTTTGTGTATTGCAGAGAATAATAATTGTAAAAAGAACATTATTATATTACATATTTAATAATGGAAATATAAAATAATGGAAAAACTTTTCTCATTAACTCATTAAGGTTTTATTATTTTTTCTATACACATTTATTCCACAAAGATACTGAAAAGGAATGCTTTGAAGAACATACCATAAAACTTGGATTTGGCCAAAATATTACCACTGAGGCAAAATCCATCTTTTCGGTTGCTCACATAAAAGGCAGATATTGGAGGGTGATGAGATACCTGAAGAAAGAAACAGATCAGGTGACCTACTGTGAAAATCAGTGGAAACAAGTAAATGGTGCAGAATTATAATTAGAAATCTTCCATTTTGTCCCCCTTGCTATTTAATATTAACATGAAACCGCTGGGAGAGGTCACCAGGAGGTTTGAGAGGTACCCAGCTGTACCTCTCTTTTTCAACTGATCCAGGTGAGGCAGTGGCTGTACTGAATCAGTGCCTGGCCAAGGTAATGGGCTGAATGAGGGCCAATAAACTGAAACTCAATCCAGATAAGACGGAGGTTTTGTTGGTGGGTGATTCAAGCTCCTGGGTAGGTGACTTGGGCCTTGCCCTGGACGGGACTGCACTCCCTCTAAAGGACAGGGTCCGCAGCTTGGGAGTGCTCCTTGACTGGGAGCTGTCCTTGGAAGCTCAAGTGACAGCGGTGGCAAGGAGCGCTTTCCTTCAGCTTCAGCTAATCCATCAGTTGCGTCCCTACCTGGAGGAAGAGTGCCTAGCAACAGTAACACATGCATTGGTTACTTCCCGGTTGGATTTCTGTAATGCGCTTTACGTGGGGCTGTCCTTGAAGACAGTCCAGATACTTCAGATGGTGTAAAACAGAGCTGCCAGGATGCTGTCAGGGACTGGGCATTATTCTCATATAACCCCAGTCCTCTATCAGCTCCACTGGCTTCCCATCGAAGTCCAGGCTCAATTCAAGGTTCTGGCTATTACCTATAAAGTCCTAAATGGCTTGGGACCGGGATACCTAAAGGAACGCCATCTTCCCTATTTGCCGTCCCGCCCCCGCAGCAGAAGCCCTCCTCTGGGAACCCTCAGTGAAAGATATTAGGAGACAGAGTACCCAGAGGAGGGCCTTCTCTGCAGTGGCGCCCCGTCTATGGAATGCGCTCCCCAGAGAGGTCCGCCTGGTGCCGTCATTATTATGTTTTTCGGCACCAGGTTAAGACCTTTTTATTTAATCAATATTTTAATAAGTTTTAATATTGAATTTTATCATCATATTTTAATTGCAGCCAGAGTGGGTCGTTAATTAATTTATGTTATGTTAGGTATTTGTATTTTATTTGTGTAAGCTGTCCTGAAGCTCTTGCAAAGGACAGCATACAGATATCTTAAATAGATAGACAGACAGTTTTCCTGAGTTGTAGATAAATCCAGCCAGGATACAAATGCACCTACATCACCTCAGAATTTCAGGTCGCAGGTGTATTACTAGACTGGCCTTCTATTGTTTGTTTGTTTGCTATTTTGGCTTTCATTTAGTAATCCACTCATTGTATCAACTAATAGTCTGCTGGAGAGAAGCCACCAAAGCTTGGAATATTCAGAGGAATCTTTATTAGAGCCTAGAAAATTTGAGGAAAAATGTTATATGGTATTCCTAATTAGAGTGAGAAATAAAAACACATCATAGTGAAATATAAAAACCAGTTGTTCTCAAACTGCACTCATCAGTTCTCAATGTGCAGATTGTTCGTGTCCTGCGGTAGCCCACATAGGTTCTCAGATTATCAAACTTTGCCAAAGTTGTTCTTAAAGATCATGGGCTATCAAGATCACCCGAACATATCTGAAAGAACAGTCTCAATCTCTCAGGCTGACCGAGAGAAAGCAATATCCACAAAGCTACATGCAATGCCTTCAAAATGAATGTCATCAGTAATAAGATTTCTGTATCTTGAACAGTGATGGTTCTTTGGAAAAGCACATTTGATAGCATCTCAAGTTTGAGGAGTCCTCTGCCATAAAAATGGCAGTCCTGTATACATTTACTGTTGGTCTTCACTGAACCTCAGAGGGACAACTACTCTATCTGGGCTGTGTGCAAAAGCATTTCCCAGGTGACTGGAAAACTTCTGTATGCATACAATTTCCCGGGAAGCAGGACATGCATCCTCTCATTAACTCCAGGCACCCTGGCTGATAAGAAAAGCCCAAGCATATTTCTCTTCTGCTCTCTCCACTAGAACTAGAGGGATAAAGAAGTGCATAAGATATGTAGCCAGTCTTTGAACTGGGGAATTGTTGTAGCAGTTAGATTTTCTTATGAGAACTTTGGCATAATTCACTACAACTTTTGCTACTTCAATAGTCTTTATTTGGCTACTTTTGGTTCAGAAGCAGGGCTTGAAAGAAATAGCCTTACAAATTATTACCATTTGGAGAAGGAAATGGCATCCTTTTCATGGCAAAAGGATGAAATTCTAGCAGCACAACAATTCAAGTATACATATCTCTCAAGTGATCCCACCCCACCCTTGTTCTTATAAAAACTTGGCCCTTGGATACAGGAGCTGATATATCATTCACTTATTATGAGTGGAATCAATAAGACTTGGCATACTGAGTCACTCATCTCTGATATTTCTACTAACTTATGGAAGAACCCAAACCTAATATAACGATTACTTTAAACCCTCTGACATTCCTGGGCTGGAATAGGACAAAAAAACCAAACAAAACAAAACTCGCTACACTTCAGTATTTTGCTAGCATTATAGTGAGGGTTTCTTGGCCAAGCTGCTTGATTTGGATACTTCGTAAACAAATGTGAAGAAATGCTGGTATTACCTGTTCAGCTATATAGTAAGTCTTGCTATTTGTCCTTGGATGAACCCACAAACACCGGAAGGTCTCACCAAGTATAGGATTGTAGGGTTTTTTAAGTCCCTGAAAAAAATGGCAGCATTTTAAACATAGAGAAAGTGATTCAAGAGGAGGGGGGTATATCTTCTCCCACACACACATTTTTCTGCCAAAATTCCATCCTCCTCCGCATTGGGTTAATATTCTTTTAAAGTCTTCATTATAAAATAAAAGGTTTTGATCTTTTTTAATTCCCCTCATGGGCAGAGTGGGAGAGGAAAAGTGTCAGTTCATCCCAGGAACAATGGAAGTGGTTTAAATGCCCCCTTCTGGAATTGCACCGTACGGATCCCAATTGGACTACATACACTTACACTGACATAAAAATGTAATGTGCTTATAAAAAAGGAGGCCAAGGAAGAGAATTATTCATTTTAAAAAGACAAACTATATTTTCCACAAGCATACACATTTTAAAAAATAGGTTTTTCTCTGATACTGACAAATAAGAGATGTGTGCACCGCTTTCTTCCAAAATACAGCAATTCCCAACCCTCTTTTTTGCCTATTTTCCTTCAGCTTGGCAGAAAATAAATACATGCTACTTGCTTGCTTTCAAAATCATTCTTGACTAGCTTTTTTCAAAATCATTACCTAAACCATCAAACCTCATGATTTATGTGTGTTCTTTAAAATTCAGTAGTTTTGACTTGAGTATATGTGGAATGTATTTTCTATTGAAATGGATTTGTGAGTGTGTGTTAAAGTTTGGTTTTATTTCGTGGTTGTACAATGCTACATTCATTTTTAAAGAATCTATCTATAGTCAAATTGTTTTTAAAGTTGCTGGGTTTTTTGGTCACAGTGGCCATATTAATTCATTTTAAAGCATTCGGATTTTGTGAATTTTTAACCTTAAACCAAACTATGGTTTATTTAAGTCCAAACCCTTGATATTGCCAACAAGCTGTGGCAAAATGGGCACCCACAGACACTATGTAAAAATGGTACATGTGAGCATATGGCATAACACTACTGGTAAATTAAGCTAAGGGCAGCTTAATGTCATGTGAATAAGGTGAGTGCCTACAATATCTGAAACGAAAACCTTTGGCCACCACTTCATCATCCATTTGGAATTATATGCAGACCCACTGAGTCACATATGTCTACATTAGGATTATGCAAGGAATATGTTCGGTGGTGGGAATTGGTCTGTTTCCTTGGGCTCACTCCCCCAGACTCCAGTCCATTTTGCAGCAGCTCTGAGTCCAAGTTCTTGGCAAGCACTCCGTGCATTTTTGGGCACTCACCAGCAATTGAGCCCTATGTACTTTGATTGAGAGTCTGACTATCTGCTGATGTAAGGGTGTAATTTGAATCCAAATGACTGCCAAAGCAGAGTGCCTATTGCTCAACATTAACTTTGCAAGGAACTATGATTTAAGATTTCTTAATGCTGGGTCACAAGGAAGATTTTAACTGAGGAAGCAATATTTTAAAAATTCAAATATGTAAAAGAGGTTTGTATACTTCACTTGTGTGATATTATTGACCCCATGGCTGTTTGTGATGGTGGGAAAAGTGAGCAATTTTTCTATTATGAAAGTAGACTCAATACTTATTTTTCATTCATGTTGCACAAGAAATGGAAAAAGTAGAATCAGATTTAAACATCTCTAAATATGAACATCTCTAAAGATTGTGTGGGACCACTTTGTTGACTAGGGATAATGGGAGATGTGGACCAAAACACCTGCAAGGTTGGAAAGAGGTGACCTAGGAGCTTTGTGTTATCAGTTGTCCCAACAGAGGCAGAACTTACCCCAAAAGCTTTAAGATTAAAAACAGTGAGTGGGATGCTGAAATGCCAATTGGCAATTCACAACATAGTTGAGGAATACGTGGAGTATGGAGTTGTAAATGCTGGGACTGAAGTTTTATGAATTGTTTCAGCATTTGAAACATTTGGCCTGAAAACAGTGATCAAGAGTTAAGCAAGGTGTTACCTTTGGTTTTTTGTAGAATCCTGACAAATACCACTTCACAACTTGTTTCAAACGCTTGTAAGCATTCTCTTCAAGTGCAGCTCTAGAAAAAAGATCAACCATGTTTATTATGAACTTTTAAATTTAACATTGATAAATCTTTGTTTCAATCAATGGAGCATGACATATATGACTTTAACTTCCATACAGTCTTCAAATACACTTGTCAGGACATGAACAGAAAATTTAAATCAAACTTAAGCTTTAAATCAAACTAGCACGCAGCTACAGTAAAACAGATTGCTTATCTCTAACTAGAGTTTTAAAATGTTCTTGTGCAGTCAGACATGCAGGAAATATCTACAGCTAAATCCAAGAATTCTATGCTCCTACCTGTCCCCATAAAGGGATGGATGCTTTACAGCTTTTAGCACCTCAAGGGATGGAACAAGCTCATTTCTTTCATGCACAAATAGGAAATAAAACACTTGCAGTGGATGAAGTAGACAGGCTATGTGACTGCAGAGATAATCATTCAAAATGTTCCAATTACAGGTAAGCACACTCTTTGTGTGGATATACATATGGGAGACTATGGTTGGAGAGTTGGTCTACCTGAAGAAGATGGCTGGTGTTTGCAGAAAGTATAAAATACAACTCTACTAGCAACAACAGCTTAAGCCCTCCTACCAGATCATAACTATTTTGAAGTGTCAATAATTGTGCCTGATAACTTCTCTGCAAGGTTACAAGATTAGGTCCTCTACCCAAAAAGTCAGAGAACAAGCCTCCTGGTTAAAGCACCCAGGAAAAAACAGACAACCCTTCTCAGAGTTACAATACACTTAGCTAGAATGGACATAGGGCTGGAAAGGTACCGAAATGAGGAGTGGCTCGTTGGCTATAGAACCTTACTGTCACAGGGTAAATTAGCTTCCCCCGTGTGGAGGGGTAATTCCAGAATTGCAATCTAGGCAACAAACCTAAAGAAGAGTATCTATTCCAATTAGGTTCATACATCTTGTGTTCAATCCAGGAACTGCTTGAGGAGTATCAGTAGGAAGTGAAAGAGCTGCAGTTATTCTCATGAAATGTCTTCTAATCACTATTTAGACTCAAAATGATAATCCTTGGGATGATTCCAGGGACTAGAAGGGCTGATGCAGTGCCTCTCAGCTGCAGATATGAACTGATTAAACTCATGTGGTTTATATTGAACAAAGGAAGAATGAACCCGATCTCCCTCTCAGAACACTAACATAAGTTTCTGTGTTTTCTGGTATCTCAGAAACTGCTGTAACTTTTGAAAGAACAGGTCAGGTAAAACAACAGTTCCAGATGTTGGTGTTGGACTTGGAGGAAGTCTGAGAAGCCTGAGTCAGAACAGCTGGCAAGAAAACAGCTATTACAACTCAAATGCATGTTGAAACAATTTTTTCTAGACAATGATCCAGCTGAAACCACTATAAAATCAGATACTTGTGTGGAGATAGGACATAGCCAGTTCTGAGAATTAGGAGTTTGATCCAGAGTTTTGTCCTTGAAATCCCAATCTTTGGTTTCTTTTGCAGTTGCTGATGACTTAGAAACAAGACCTATGAAACTGGCCTTTCGACTGCTTCAAGAGAGAATGAACATGAAGAAAGTGAAGCTAAGACATAGCATAAAGCTGACCAATGCATACTCAATTAAAAAAACCCTGCTGGCAGTGAATATAAGAATCAATCTGGTGCGTATTTCCATATCTAAGCAGAAGGAAATCTATTCTGCACTAAGAAAATCAAACTATAAAAGGTGGGCTTCTGAAGTATTCTACTTAAATATCAGAATGTTTTATTTGCAAAGTCTAGTGTGCTGATGTCTGAATTCCATATCTCATATAACACACAATACTCCAAAAATCTCTTTCATATTCTCAAAAACTGCCAAAAAGCTTCTCAACATTTCAGACATTTTTGAAATGCGTATCTGAAATTTACATTTTATCACAATATTGAGATTTTCCTGGCAAGAAATTTTAAAGACACAAGTCAGCTTTAAGACAACCTCCTTGCTACTCAGAGAAAGTCCAACAGCATAAGCAAGTTTAGACTGATCACTGTTCAATCATTCATCTTTTCTTTAAAATGTGTTTGCAGGTTTTTCAAACAAAATACTGAAACACTATGCCAAGGTAGTTTTTACTGAAGTGGAATAAAATCAACTCACTCTGATAAAAAGTCTGCATGGTAGTAGTAATCAGAAAGTTTGTCCAAGAAAGAGCGTGTTTCCAAGATAAATGTAGGTAGCACAACTTTGGAGAGATCCATTCCTGGCCGTACTTGTTTCAACAGTGTCCAGATCAAACTCTTGTTTTCTTCTGAAACAGTTTCTGTTTGGGAAGCTTCTCCAGCCTGCAACAAATGGGAAGGAAAATAGAGGAAAAGTAGGATGCCAACTGAGAAGGTATGTTGGACTGAGGCACAGTTGCCCAAACCGTGCCTACACTATCTGTTCTTTGATGTAGGGATAATTTAAACAGACTGCATGGCTCCAAAGACAAATCTGCAAGTGTACTTGCCTCATATACTGAATGTTTATTATATGGGATTGCAGACAACAAAACTGGAGGAAAAACTCCAACTGATGAAGCTTTGGCGTTGGGAAACTAACCAGTTTCTCTCTGCTGCAGAATATTTAAAAAAACAAAACAAAATCCTGAAGTTGCCAGCCTGACTAATGTACTCTTAGAAAAAATGGTCTGCCTAAACTCTAGTTATTAGACCAAGGCTGAAGACTGTAGATACCCCACACTAACACTACAACTTCTGATTTTCCCCACTTAACTGTCCCTGGCAATATTGTGCAAGCTTGTTTCAATTGTGGTTCTAGGTTAATCTCTGTCCATTTCCATGTCAGGTCAGGTGAAATAGTTCAGTGCCAGATTTGGCTATCAGCATTTTGATTCCTCAAGCTCTTTTTAGCACTGCATCAACTCCAACCAGGTACACTTTTAACAGTTTCTTTTGCTTTTTATTGTCTTCACTTCCTTAGATATCCCCTAAACATTAACTGACCACATGATTTTAAAACTGGCCTATAGCTATTGCAGCAGTAGACATCAAGAATGTAGTTAGAAGGGCAAAAATATTTTATAATATAATACAAGTACTAATCAGCTGACACTGTCAGGCTTTCCTTGAGTTCCTTCTCATAAAAAGAGGTGATGGTGATGATGATGATGATGATGATGATTTTTACCTCCCCAAGTTCTTCATGAACTTCTTCTAAATAGGTTGTTTCCTTGACATGATCAGGTTCAGGGTCAATGTATGAGTCATCTTGTCGCTCTGAGGTGTCAGTGTCACTTTCTCCCAAGCCATCATTATCTGACTCATCACGATCATGATCATTTTCCCTGTCTGATTTATCAGAATACATATCTGGATCTTTAAAATGATGTCTTTCAATTTCACCATCATTTAACCTTATAAAATAAAAAAGAGATGGGTTTCAGTGGTAAGGTTTTTTGCCTTTCCTTTATGCATCTTTATTTAATAAACTGCAGCACACCATAATATATACAACTAAGGATTTTTAAAGCTGTCATTGCAGTAAACATCAGACACAATGAAGTCAAGTTCATATATATTTCAGTCTCAATAAATTTTGTTTAGAGATTTAAGAACATTTTTAAGAATTTAGCAATACTTAAATCTGGTAATTTAGCGTACATTTTAAATTATGCAGCTTTGCTTCTGAATCTCTTGATAGCACTATTACTTTATAATCTTCTATTTGAATAACTTCGCAAATAAAAAGAGCTGCAAATTTATTTTCCACAATCAAAACTGTTTTTCTTTTTAAGATTTATAGCATACCTTATCCCATGGATGCAGGGGAAATTGACCATTGTTCTAGACTGGGATGTTTATAATTCATTTACATTCACATTTATTGTATGACTACTCACACATATCCAGATATGCAAAAGTAGCAATTTAATTAAGAATGTGCTTAATTCATCAGTTAACATTGGAGAAAGAAGTTTTGTTTTAAAATACAATATTTCATACAAAATAAACCAATTTTACAGAGATTCACTTCATTTAAAGAAATCACTCTGTTAATTTATCTTTGATTTGAATGTTACATTCATAGTGCGGGCTTTTTAGCAGTTCAAGTCATTGATAAGCATGTATTATGACACAGAGTTAATTCAGCTAATCATCACTCTCTAGGTTTGTTACTGCTACAACTGAACTGAATGAAATAGAACAGCAAAAGGAGGTGAGTGTTTGTATGTCAATTGTTTCTATATGTAGTCACCTAGTAAAGTGCTAGCAAAACAATAGTGAATTTGCTTCATACTCTGAGGCACACTTATTTTCCTTGCTCTTTAAAGATCTATTTGTTGTTAACATTTGTATACCACTTGTCAGTCAGATTGCAAAAAAGACTAAAACTATTAAGACGTAAATATAAAAATCTAACAGGCAGCTTAAAATGGTCAGCCAGGTTAAGACTATATCCAACATGCTGAAGGAAAACAAAAACAAAAACAACTGCCAGGATCCTAAACATCCATAAGGTATCAGGTGAGCCTCTCTCAGGAGAGTATTCTGCAGCTAGGGTTCCACTACTGAAAATGCCACCTCACTGACAGTGATCAACCTTACTTCACATGGTTGGTATACACAGAAGGGGTCATCTACAGAACATTTTCATAGGCAGGTATTGCCTTATGGAGACAGGCAGTTTTCAAGCACCTAGTCTTAAGCCACAATGGGCTTTTAAAGGCTAAAAAAAGCCTTTTGAACTGAGGCCAGAAATGGACTGGGAAGGGACCATTTCATTTCATATAGCAGAGGAATGGATTGCAGCACCCACTTGCAATTAGTGATCTAGCAGCTATACTGCAGTCAGTGATCTAGCGCTGACTGCAGCCTCCAAACAAACTTTAAACACATGAGAAAAACTCAGGGATTTTTAGTTTAGAAAAAAAGACAAGTATGGTGTGGAGAGACAAGAGAGGGGTAGGTTTCTTGACTCTACCACTTACCCTTTATACTAGTTCCTGGCAGCTTCTAATAAAGCTAAATGTTGGGAAATTCAGGACAGGCAAAAGAAGTACCTCTTCATGAACTGGACAGTCATGAGGCCAAGAGGCACTCTAAAGAAGTAAAGATGGCAGATACCTGGGGCCTCAGCAGGGCTAGTATGTTGAGCTTTTAAAAGAGAGAAAAAAATGCTTTTTAAGCAAGGGGTGGGGAGAGAGGGAGAAGGACAGAAAGTGAGTTTTATCCTGCTAGTGTTCGGGGCCTGAGAGGTCTGCCCCGAAATAGTCCTACTGTCCTTGTCCTACCACTGTCCTTTCTCCCTTCTTCCCACAGCTAACTATAAAGATAGTGGAGAACCAGAAGCAATTTCCTGGAAAACAATTCAAATGTATATTTGGTTGACTTACGGGAAGCTTTCACTACTATGGACGTTGTTTGCACGGAGTAGGCCATAGAAAGACACATGTGCATTGTCTGTTAAGTTCAGTTCATGCTCTTTACCTTCTCTGATCATTGTACGCTTGAGCAAACTTGAGCATTTCAGAGCCAGCTCCAGTGCATCCATCCAACACCTACCTAAAGATAAATATATGCTTTAGTAGTATCCTTCAAATCATTGATTTTACAATTGGAAGAGTGTTCTAGATGATCTGTATTTCAGAAGTTTGTAAGTTTAAACCACTGAACTAAGTTTCTACTTTATCTCATCTCAAACACAGAAAATATTTGGGGTTCTGAATAACTATCACAACATGTAAATTTTATGTCTTGTTTACATGCACGTCCCATTTATTTTAACAAGATGTATTTCTATGTTAAGTGTGCTTAGGATTAGATTGCTAGCTTCTGATATACTGAAATACAAGGCAAAGGACACTGAATGTATAAACATGCCTTCTCTATCTCTTAATATATGTTTCAAACTTCAGCATCTCAAACCTTTACATATTTGTGAACCAGACTTAGACCAGTGCTTGGAGAAGACCCAATCAATGGGTCAAATTAGTCATGAGTAACTATTTAGTCATAGCAAATTAGTCATGAGCAAGTCCCAATAATTTCAAAAGGTCTAATTCTAAGTATGACTAAATCTGGATTCAACTCAATATTTTACATCTAAGACCTTAACAATGTTCTATTAAGCTATTTGCAAGCAACATTTATAAAACTGGCAAAATTCAGAAGCCTACCTGAAAATCTGTAATTCCAGCCTCCACATAACCGCTTTCTTCTCAGAGGCAGCCCCTCTAGCGTAACTAGCCTTGGTGGGCTTAAATGTTATGAAAATCTGGACTGTTTCCCCCTGAGATAGCTTAATTGTGGATTGTGACCCTTTTTCCCCTGCGGTGGAGGGCAGGACAAGTTCCATTGGAGCAAAGCTCAGGGAACCAAGATTCAAGGTGGATGCCAGGAAGTACTTCCAGTCGGTTAGGACCCCTAGGGTATGGAATACGTTTCCACGGGAGGTGGTTGAAGCCCCATCAGTGAGGGTATTTAAGGATAGGCTGGACATACACATGCCAGAACTGTGACAGACACTCCATGAAGTGTCTAAGATGGATTTTGGAATTACCATCAGTGGCTTAGCTTCCCCTACACTGACTGAGAACCCTTGCATGCTGCTTTTTATCCTATTTTTGGAGATCCTTTTTCAGAGTCTCCAGGCATAGGTGCTAACAGCTCTTCAGAGTACCTGAGTGGCACAATGGAGTGGCTGTCATCAGTTTGTTATACTTTTTTAAAAAACAGGTGTGCCTAAACTTTGTATATATTTTTCATTTTTGCAGCATTACCTTGATAATGCCCTGGATAATGTCTCCATAAAGTACAAGAGGTCCTACCCATGAACACTTACAGAGCAAGGGTACAATTTGCTTTGCTTCTCCGACAGCTGCCAAATGAGAAGAAAAGCTACAAGGGAATCTTTGCTGACTAACTTTGATGTGTGTATAACACTTTTTTTTACATAAAAAGGGAACATATGCAGATTTCATGACTACAGATGTCTCCGTCAAAAAAAGAAAAAAAAAAGCCCTATCAAAGCCCCCATTCTAAAAGCTTTTGACAGCTTTCAAAACTGTGTTCCCATAAATGGGGGATTAACACTCTTCCTCCTTCCTAAGCATCTGAAGTTTCAAGAAAAGGTAGGAAAGTTGGAGGACACTGAGAACAGTCAGACCCAATCCAAACAAGCAAACAAACAAAAACTAGAGGATCTCACTGGAAAGGAGGAGATAACCACACACACTCCGTCAATAATGATTCCTTGCTGTCTGACAGCAGACAAATGGGAAGCTAAACAAATTAACCCATTTGTAGCCTTGCTCTGTAAATGTTCATTGATGGTGCCTCCTGTACTTTGACAGGAAACAGCATCCAAATGAGAGAGCACATAAAGAGTTGTGTACATGCACACCTCAAAAACACACCTTTTTTAACAAGACATCAAAAATATCTGCATAAATCTTGGATGCAAAAACCAAGGACATCTGCTCCAATGTGTTGCTTGTGCACTTTGAAGGAGCCTGCAGTGGCTGTCACTCTGGGTATTCAAGAACAGAAATCTTGCAAGGGGAATGGGTAACAGTGTAAAAAAGGCCATGGTGAACACAAAAAGGTATTGTGGTCACAGTGGGGAGAAGAGACCAGATAAATCCTGCTGTGGGGTCCCCTGGAATACCTGCAAGAGAACTGAGGGGAAATGCAGGGAGGAGCCCACAGTGTAACCAGGGAATCATAGGATGTTTCACAAGTAACCTGCAATGAATAGCTTATTCACGGGATGTGTTGCCATGTCATGCAAACTCTCTCACTGTGAGTTGTTTTTCATGAACCCAGCACCCTGAGAACTCATGGCTGATTGGTGGAGTGTTCAGGGTGCCTTGTTTCAGGGTAGTGTAGCTTGTCATGATGTTCAAACATTGCAGAACAACTTCATAGTGAATTGTTGGGGATATCTGTATACTGAGCTAAATTGCAGCAATCTTTTTTAAAACTAGAGATATGACTAAATTCTAAAAGGTAACAAAAAGCTTGAGCATGTGTTTTTAAGTTAATATAGCAACATAATTGGAATATGGTTAAAAATATAATTCTGTGCAAAACATATTTCCTTTGCATCTTATACAAGAAAAAATTGGAAAAGTCTATTAATATTGTGCTTGCCACTTGCAGTGTTTTAAGTAGGTTTGTTTTTTATTTCTGCTACCTAATAAATCAAGAGCACCTATTTAACAGATGTATACTGCAATCCTATGCTCACTTACCTTAAAGTAAACTCCACTGAATTCAATGGGGCTTACTTCAGAGTAGATATACCTAGGATTGTGCTGTAAAAAACTTACTGTTCACACTAGATATAAGTTATTCTGTTTTTAAGTTCCATTAATCAATAACATGCATTTCAAAAACAATGAATTCTCTAAGAATTCTAACAAACTGATCTCAAAAAACACAAATTATTTACCATCTGATTCTGAAGCTGCTCGGATGATCAAGTAACTGCTGGGCAATGGCTGTGTTATAGAGCCAACAGCTTCACCCTTAGGTCCCTTTATTTCAAAATACAAAAAAAAAAACCCACCTCAGATGCCAAAAGTTTTAGAGTAATATGAGTTCAACTTTTTCTAACCAAGGAAAATAAGGAGATTCTCTGTCAGCTTTGTTATGTTATCTTTCACAAGAAGCTACTCTTCTGAATAAATTCACTAACAGCTCTGATCTCTGAAATTTTGGTGGCATTGGGAACTCGGAGTACACTTTCAGTTTGGGGGTAGGAAAAAAAAGAAGAGGAAGATAGAATACATTTAAGTAGAACAGGCAGCTGACAAGGAAGAAAGGATTCACAACACCATCTGTACGCTTTTTTTCTTGCAATCACTGTGAGGAAACTAGGAGATAGTTCAATTACAAGATTTGTCCAAACCAGACTGAAGAGCTAGAAAAAATCTGATTTTCATGTAATTCCAGATGCATGTAGCCAAATGTGTGGATGGGCAAAGAGAGAACCACAATGCAGTGTAGCAGGACCCCCATATCTACTGGTTCAGTTACTGTGTTTTCACTTAACCACAGCTGACCTTGGTCCAAAAGAGAAACCATAATGCTTCCTTTAGGTGAAAATTCTTGATTTAACAGGGAAAGAAAAAAAAAAGTGTGCTGAGGTCACTTGGATGTAAGTAGGAATGAATCTTCTATCGGTGAAAATGTGAACAAAGAAATGTATATATACAATATATAGTGTTCCTTATTATCTGCAGCTTCAGGCATTACTGAGGGACTTGGAATATATTCCCATGGATATAGAGATCCTGCTGTATTTAGGAAAAAAGAACTGTAACATACAATTTTGTTAAATTCATAACATGTAAAAGCAGCTCTGGAAGTAGAGTATTGACAGACCATCACTGACTTTGCAATAATGCAGATATGCTTTCATCTGTCCAATATGGGGGGAAGCACTGAATTTCTCTTGCAAATCAGAAATAGTGAATTATGGAGTAATCTTAGTTTGGTGAAAAGCCTAAAACAACAGCACTGTTTACTTCCTTTGTACTCTTTACCTGCCTCCTATTGCTACAACAAAGTCTCTAGCTTTATTACAGGTCTGAATAGTACAGGTCAGGTCTGCCACTTTCAACTTTTCTGGACTGAGTGTTGAAAGCAACTGAACATAAATCAGACAAGGGGTAGCTGAGCTAGACCAGTCTATGACAAATGAAAGCACTTTAAGATTATTAATATTTAACAATGCAGAAAGGTTTAGGATATCATTGGTGTAATGTTCTATTCAACACCACCTGCATTAAGACGACATATTCACTTACCTTAACAGCCCAGATAGACTGCTCCAAAGGATGGAAAAGTTTGAAACAAAATCCATCCTTTTTTGAAGGCCGCTCAATGAGTTCACAAGCGTTCAGAAGCACTGTTCCCACCCACTGGCCATTTTTAGGAGTTTTGTAAATAAGCAGTACTCCTGGTTTCAACACACACCAAAGTTTGGTCCAGCTTTTCAGTGTACCACGAATCTTAATTAAAAAAAAGGAAAGCTTTTAATTAATTATAGTTTTAAGTATATTTCAGTCATTCTCTCCAGAGGCAGAGATGGTTACTCACAATATGTACAACCTTTTTTATATCATAGAATTGAAAAGGTGTCTTTCTAAATATTATCCACATCTCATATGATCACACAGAGAACACATCCTACTGTCTGCATACTGTTTCTTAATAAAGACTGAGTTACTAAAGGATATTTAATGTAAGTTACAGGGGGGTTTTTTCTCCAAAATAAAGTTACTTTTGCACAGCAAAACCCTTCACATACCTACTCAGACATACTCCCCACACCAAGTTCAGTGAGCCTTACTCTGAGGTAAATTGCTATAGGATTGCATCCTAAACTATAATATAATATATGTGCACTAAAATGAGATCCAGTGTGGTGCAGTATTAAGAGTGCTCAGCTGGGACTTGGGGGACCCAGGTTCTACTCCCCAGCTAAGTCATGCTAAGCTAGCTGGATGACTTTGGGTCAGTCACAGACATTTGGCCCAATCTACCTCACAGGGTTGTTGTCAAGAGGACAAGATTGAGAAGAAGATTGAGAGGAGGAGAATTGTGTGTATGAGTTCCTTGAAAGGAAAATAGTGGGATATAAGAAATAAAAAATAATGGATAGAGGATTTAATGAAGCTTTCAATTTTTGAACAGCTGGTCTTTAGGTGTAATTTAAAAATAGATAAATATATGGAAATTTGGGGTACCTTTTGGAAGTGTATGCCACCTTTACAAATAGTTTGCAACATATATGATATATAGGGATATATAATACATATGAAAGTAGTGTTATGGATAATACTAAAGTTTATGTAAGAGAACGGCAATACTTTGATTTTATTGACTTTTTTTTACTTCACTCCTGTGGTTTAGGTTTTGTTTTGTTTTCCTGGCTTGCTATTGCATTGATCATGTGAGACATGTATATTTTATTAATCAGTGTGAGATCCATTGAAATGCAAGGGACACTTGCACTGATCAGTTTAGATTTTTTGACACCTATATTATTTCTACAATGCCTTTTTGGTGGAACTAATGAAACTCCCACAAGTTCCCCAAGTTTTATTCCTGTGCCTATTCAATGAAGTTCAGGAGAGACAGAGTTTACAAGAAGGAACCCACTTAAAATAGAGGCACATTAATGGCCTTCAGTTTTCAATTGCTAGAGGAATATCTCATAATTCACTTTTCATACAAAGGGATCACCAACGTAATTAGTCACTCCAGACAGGTGTAGCCATGGCAACCCCATTATAGGTATCTTCCCTTGGTTCTCTATGCATCAAGTACTTAAACTCTTGGATAGAATTAATAGATTCCCAGCTAATGGTAAACAGCAGCAACCAAGTAGGATTAAAACTATTTTCTATTTTGGTAGATAAATATTTTGGTATTTGACAGCAGCTACAACTTTTACTCATATTACCGTTTCTGACCTTAAGCCAGTCAGCCATAACAATCACTGATGGGTCTGTAATTGTGCTAAGTAATTCTTTTGTGGCTCTTTTCTTTTCTTCCCTGTAATTTTTCTTTTGAACCTGTACAGATTGAATACATAATAAACCAAGTAAGCAACATAAGTTGATAGAAATAAATTTATGAATCAACTAAACTTCCAAAATTCAAAGGTTATCTTCAACCAGGAATGCAACATGCCTAGCTCAGTTTATAAAAGTACAAGAGAAAATAGCAGTTTTAAGAGAACTATTTGTCTAACATAAATATTGCCATTATTTAATATTTTATCAGTGCTGGTTCGAGGACTGGGGGTGAGGGTGGGGGGCTTGGACTCAACAGCCTGAATGGGCTTCCCCAACTTTGAAGAGATAGGAGTGAGCAACTTGTGGCCCTTAAGATGTTTCAGCACACAGCTCCTATCATTCCTCACCTTTAGGGATTCTGGCTGGGGCTGTCAGGATATCTAGACAGCCACAAGTTGCGCATATCTGCAGTAAACCTCTGCCTGAGCTATACCACTTCAGATTGCAGCTATGTGCTCCCATTATGGAATGCTCCTGCATAAGAAATCCACAGCTCACTCACAAGCTTAAAAACTCAGTAATAACTAGGCCTTTATAAATAATAACAAAAAATAGTAGTGTCACGTATTTTCCACACAGCAGAACTAGAGGACTGTGTTCAGATTACACAAACATGCTGCATTTTAGAGATATAGTGTGGCTGGTAAAAATTATTCTGGAGGGAAATGACATTGGCTAAAGTAGCAGCGGCATCATCCTAATATTTCTTCAAAGCTCTTGTGTATCTCATATTTAGCTTCTGAACCCACTAGAAGGTTTCATACTATATAATCCCATGAGCCTAGAAAGTGTACTGTTTTGGAAAACAACTCACCTTAAGAGACTCCTTCTTTGTGAGTTTGGTAGCTGAAGAGGTGCTGGAGGAAGTGGTAGTAATGTCTTTCTCTGATCCATTATAAAGCTTAGATTCTGACTGAAAATAAACATCATACAATGATGAAGAAATTATACCAGCTGTCTTTCAGGTGTAGAAACATTAGTTAAGTGAAGCACAGACACCAGGAACTTTTTCTAGATTTCGAAGTTTAATTAAATGATATACTAGCACTATCTAAAATAAATAATTAAATAACCACTTGCTTTCTCCAACATCATACTTCCACAGACCCATAACTTTCCACGTAAGTGCCATTACACTGAAAATAATTCTTTTATTAAATTGGAGTTTTCATTCACAGTAAGGCAATATGCTGCTCTGGCAACACATTATATAGAAATTGTCTTGAAGTCTAAATTTTTCTGATTTGCCCAGTAATAGGGAAAGGAAGGAAGATACTGACAAATGAAACCTGTGACCTTGCAGAACTATTCTGGCAGTCCATCACTCAACAAGTTATGGTAACTAAGTTAACACATTAGGAACCTCACAATAAACATCTACTACTGACTAAAAATAAAGTCCGAATAAGGTACACAGCATTTGTTTCTTTGTAGATCAAAATATAAATCTGATTGATAAGACTCAGTTAATAATAATAATCTATTCAGGAGACAACTAAGTCTTCTGAGTGGATTTAGTTTTTCCTCAAAAGCTCTGTTACTAAGTTTCAAAAACTTTTCTATTTTCAATTCAATTCATGCTCCAATTCATGCTTGTTCATGGCTATACAGGGATGCACAAGCTGCTGCTTCGGAGGAATCCAAGAAGATTTTCCAGTGTAGCATTGAACAGTTAGGGGATGTTTCTGTTTAGAAACTAAGCAATACTGTATGTATGTAAAAATTTTCCTAAATGCTTTTCAAGACTGGAGCTAAATGGCACAACTGCACCTAAAATGTCAGCAAGTATAAGAAATGAGTACATTTAAGTTACATTAAAGTCAGTTTATAACAATTAAACATTTAAAAGCAATTTTGTTTCATCTGTTTAGGAGTAAATGTACACATTTTAGAGTATTTGCAAGAGGGCCATTTCCAAACGTTTCAGCTGGAAGACTCAAACAAGTGACTGTGATCATTCTATTGATAGGTACTGCCTCTTTTCTGCTTTGCTTCTGGGAAACCACTTCCATGTGGATGGATTTCCATATCCTAGCAGTAATGCAGATAATCATCAATCACATAAAGTACCAATATTTTTGGTTTCCTTTCTGTGGAAGAATCATAAGTAATTATGGAGATAAAATACTGGTGTGGAAAGTTAAGAAAATAATTCAAGCAATCCACACAGTTACTACCCGCATGTATTACCAAAGCTACATTAAGCCCAGACCACATTAAAGCAATTTTCTAGCAGAAGTCAGCATGTCCATGCTAATTTGTACATAAATGCAGCTGCGCGAATTCCTCCATAAACCAGAAAGTCACTGAATTGCAGGTGATTAAGCACAAAGTGGCAAAAAACTGCATTAGTTCAAGTAGATTTTAGTAAGTTTTATGCAATAAATATATGTATTACATACTCATTAAAAATAAGACAAAGTTACTGTCCTAAACCAAGCATATGTCAGTAAAAGTATCTTCAAAATGTAACAAATGCTGCCCACTTATGAATGGTACATAATTTATTTCTTTCCTTTGTATTTATATGGCAAGTTTGGATAATGAAAAATGAAATATTCATAGGCTTGGACCCAGACTTAGTCATACTTAGGTTAAACCTGTTGATTTCAATGGGTAAATACTAAGTATGGTGAAATATGGATCCAACTCAGGAGTTTATTTTCCTGTTCAGGTAGCATGAAGGAGGAGGTATTTTTCCCAATATTTTGCATAGTCTATTCTGGCAGGAACAAATATGTGAGATTATATCAAATAATCATTTATTTATTTATTTATTTAAAACATTTCTATGCCACCCCCATTGCAACAAAGCCTCAGGGCGGCTCACAAAGAATACATAAAAACATACATAAATAATTATAACAATTTAAAAGAAAACACCAACATTTAAAACCCCCCGGTGCATTCCCGGCTAAAAATTTTAAAATCCTAATTAATACAATAATTTAGCAATTAAAATAAGTTTTACATAAAAAGGTCTTAGCCTGTCTCCGAAAAACAAATAATGACGGCGCTAGGCGGACCTCTCTGGGGAGCGCATTCCATAGATGGGGTGCCACCACAGAGAAAGCCCTCCTCCGGGTACTCACCCTCCTAATATCATTCACAGAGAATTCCCAAAGAAGGGCATCCGTTGCTGATCTCAAGGGGCGGGAGGGCATATATGCGCGCAAGCGTTCCTTTACATATCCAGGTCCCAAGCCGTTTAGGGCTTTATAGGTCATAACCAACACCTTGAATTGGGCCCAGACTTCAATCGGGAGCCAGTGGAGCTGACGGAGAACTGGGGTTATATGAGAAGAATGCCCAGTCCCCGTCAGCAACCTGGCAGCTCTATTCTGCACCAATTGAAGTATCTGGACCGTCTTCAAGGGTAGCCCCACGTAGAGCGCGTTACAGAAATCTAATCAGGAAGTTACCAACGCGTGTGTCACTGTCACCAGGCAGTCGTTCTCCAGGAAGGGATGCAGCTGATGTATCAGCCGAAGCTGAAGGAAGGCGCTCCTCGCCACCGCCGTCACCTGAGCTTCTAGAGACAGCTCAGGGTCGAGGAACACTCCTAAGCTGCGAACCCTGTCCCTCAGAGGGAGTGCAACCCCATTTAGGACAAGGCCCAAGTCCCCCATCCCGAGGCCCGAGCCACCCACCAACAGGACCTCCGTCTTGTCTGGATTGAGCTTCAGTTTATTGGCCCTCATCCAGCCCATTACCTCGGCCAGGCACCGGTTCAGCACAGCCACTGCCTCGACTGGATTGGTGGAAAATGAGAGGTAGAGCTGAGTATCATCAGCGTACTGGTGATTCTGCAGCCCACACCTCCTGATGACCTCTCCCAGCGGTTTCATGTAGATGTTAAATAGCAAAGGGGACAAAATGGACCCCTGCGGAACTCCATGGCATAACTGCCATGGCACAGAGCCATAGTCCCCCAGCACCACCTTCTGAAAATTGGCCATTGACATAGGAGCGGAACCACTGCCATGTGGTGCGTCCAACTCCCAATCCCGCCAGCCTATTCAGAAGGATACCATGGTCGATGGTATCGAAAGCCTCTGAGAGGTCCAGGAGAACTAACAGGGACGCACTTCCCCGTCTCTCTCCCTGCACAGGTCATCGTACAGGGTGAGCAAGGCAGATTCAGTGCCATACCCGGGTCTGAAGCCGGACTGAAATGGGTCCAGAGAATCAGTTTCATCCAAGAGTGCTTGGAGTAGTCCCGCCACCACCCGCTCTAGCACCTTGCCCAGGAACGGGATGTTGGCCACCGGTCTACAATTGGCGGCCACCTCTGGATCCAGGGATGCATCATAGAGTGCATATGTGTATATACATAAGACAATAACTGCATTCATCCATTTCACTGCAAAACTGAAACTTGGATGTCAGTTACATATGGAAGAAACTACTTTCCTCCTTTTGACACTTGATGTATACAGAGTCTTCTAGTTTCTACAATTGTTCTCTTTAAAGTAATGCACAATACACACAAAAATTGCTGTATATGTCCATTGTCCAGGATATCTGCAAAACTCTCCTCCAGCACCATGTTTTGAACACATCAATTTTCTTCCTGTCAGTTTTCTTCACTGTCCAGCTTTTACAACCATACATTGTGATTGGGAGCTCAGAACACATTTTAAGCTTACTGAAATCCTACAAGAGTGAAACTTCAAGAAAAATTAATGTATAAGTCAATAATGACTACACGGTGAGTTTGAACAAATTTAAGCTTTTTAGTCCTTAATACTAAATGTTACCGAAACTTATTATTTCAAACATACTGATTTTTTGCTGTCTACCAAGCAATAACACAGAGACCTTACAAATGTATCACCAAATCCATCATACTTTATGTTTTGACAAAAGATAGTGCAACACTCAAGAGAGGGTAACCTATCCTAGAGTTTAACATTGAAATTATCATCATGCTACTACTTACCCTGCTTTGTTTAAAAATGTGATATTTTATTTATTTATTTATTTATTTGGAGTTTTGGTATGCCGTCCCATTTGCATAAGCCTTAGCCTGACAATCCAGTGTACTGGATAATAGTTTATCGTTCTTCATCATCATATGCCTCAGGATTCATTTGAAAGATGCAATTAAACTTAATTTAAGCTTCTGTATAGTCTAAAGTTCCTGATGCTCCCTAATCTAAGCTAAGCAAGGTCAGGTCTGGTTCGACTTTGGATGGATGATGTGTGTATGAGATTCTATGATTTTTGTTTTAAACTGCCCATAGCTGAAGCTAGAAAGGATGATGCTGATGCTGATGGGTGTTTCTTGACATACTAAATATATACCTATATATACTGTATCTATAGCACATTGATAGTTTAAAAATGTGTATTGTCAATTCAGTATTGAATCAGTAGCTCTGGACAATATTATATTCACTGGAACAAGGTACCTAAACTCACTCAGGTATTGCAAACTGTATTATTTTAATGTTTAAGTGGTTAATCCACTTACCTTGCTTTTTGACATTGACTGTGGAGAATCATCTTTACTTTGTGATGCATCATCTTTTCCTCTGTCAAAACCTTAAAAAGAATAATTGCAACAATTCAGTGTATTCCATATTCCACCAAGGACAAAAAAATCCTAACTATATTAAGAATACTTATTTAGAATACAGAACCATTAAATTCTGACTAAATATATTTAGGATTGGGATGACTACATCAACACTGTGATGTAAACATCTCACTGTTCACCAAAGAGCAGCACAATGTTTAGGAAAAAACTACAAAATATTTATTAAATGCATATGTCTATACCGCCCAATGGCCAACGTTTTCTAATCTTATGCTTGCACCTGGTGCCCTACAAATGTCAAAAACTGGCATAAATGGTAGTTATCAATGGCATAAATCAATGTCATAAATGGTAGTTATCAGAGGTACTACCCGGTTCGAATGATCAAATCTTGTCCTACAAAGCTAGGATATGCATGTGCTTTATGTAACTGTATACAACCCCTTTTGGTTCTCCACTTCTGCAAGTAGCAAAAGGAACAAGGATCTTGTAATTAATCTTTACTTCCAATTACATCCAAACCAGAAACTATGGTTAACAGATTCAAGCAAGCCATGATTCTTTAGCCAGCTATGCTTTAACATCAGCTTCTGAATCTTGCCTTACCTAGATGCGATCAATTATGGTCCCCAGTTCAGATATAATGGGAAGCTGTAGTTAATTGGAATATCCTCGTTTGTTTTGCCACTCACATGGGAATGCATACACGTATATGAAGTTCTTACATACTGTAGCCTATTCAAGTAAAAATTGATCATCTGAACATGGCTATTTTGAATAAAAAATATCCAATTGCTAGTGGAACACAATCAGTAATGACATGTGGGCATGCTTGGGCACCTGCCAAAGGTCCACATCCCAACAATGGCATATGAGGAGTTGCTCCCCCTCCTCCTCTCTATTGCTACTGGCTTGTTTGCCTGCCTCTTTCTCTCCTTCCTTTTGCTCTGGCCGAGATAACAGCAATGGTTAGAAAGAAAGAAACATAACATTGCTAACTTGCTCAGTAGCTCTCTGCCTGTCAAAAAAACAAAAACAAAAACAAAAACAAAAAACGGTAAAAGCAATAGCTGTCTGCCTGTCAAGTAAAAGCAATGTCAAGAAAGAGGAATAGAAGCAACAGAAGCTATTGATAGTGATGGTGAGAAGCAAGACTCATTGAGAGAGGGGGACCACTGAAGATGTCTTGTCTATGGCCCTTCAAAAACCTGAAGCAGGAACTTCATGTTGCATGTTTAAGTGTGTAGATAAGTAAAGGGAGTTTAAATCCAAAGGAAATTTGATGGCATGGACCCAACACACAAACAACTTTTTTAAAAATAGCAAAATATATCACTTTGAATTCAACATACATAATTAACAAAAAGGAAGCTCGTTCTGTGATGGTTAAAAAGGAAGAAAAAATAAACATAGTTTTAGTTACTTATACGCTCTTGTTTAGATCATTTCAAAAAGGTTATGCCTGCATGCTCACATGTTTGCAAGGGTTCCTCCAGCTTAGAGCCACACAAACAGAATGCCTCCTCATTAGAGAAGAATATGAGACCAAATAAGAAGGTTCTGACCCACTTCTTAAAGAAAATTTAATACCCATCATGATTAAGCAATACGGTGTTCATATATTCTGCTACACATACACACAGAAGTGAACCAATCAATGTTTTACAAAACAGCATAAGACAGAGAATTTGTCCAAAGCCAAATCATAAAGCTTGCACTACTTCATTTGCATCTATTATGCTAGAAGGAAAAGCTGAATATCTGCATTCTTCACAGTAACAAATATATTTTATATGCATTCAAACTCAGACATGTATTGGGTAGAAATGTAATCCTTCCAAGTAGAGCAGTAGGAATTTGGGAAATTTTCTGGAGCAATTCTGGATTCTAAACATAGATTAAGCAGCAACTTTTAGACTTATAGTTAATGACTAATTGAAATGCCTGGAGTGAAAAAGTGCAGCTGTATTTCCACTGACCTTCATATATAACAATGCAAAGATGTTACTATGTATGAAAAAGAGCCACATGTAGCAGAAGCTTTGTTTACTCTTTAAGCTACAGCAGTTCCAACTTGGAGAAAGCAAACAATCCTGCTTGGGATCCATCTCTTTAAAACAGGAAATTGCTGCAGAAGAACTAATTAGAACACCCTATGATTTATTCCCACAAAGCAAGTTCTTGCGTTGAATCACAATCAGGATATTTGATGAATATCTTATCTGATGTACATACTGGCTGTGTTTAGATAATCAAACCCTTTCTTAATAAATCAGGATATGCCAAGCTTTGTGCTACTGTATGTGGCTTCTTTACTCCCATTTTGCTCTTCAATTTATTGTGAGCAGGGAAACAAGACAGAAACCACAGCACCTCTTTAATCCGGATTGGGAAACTATGGTTATTGCCTTCCAAACAAGCATGGTATAACAAAAAATAAGGATTAATTGCTGTTTCCTGTCTTGTTTGATTGCTGCATACAGGTGCATGGAAACTCATACGTATCATCACACATTATAACTCTTTTTGTTCATTTTTTATCCTCTAATGGGCACCATCTGTTTATATACCATTCACTTATATAATTTCTCTGATGTAACAAATGAAAAGTAACAAATGACATACATCTAGAATTACATATATTGCATCTTCAGCACACATCTAGAATATTTGTCTTCAGAAAGTCATAAGAATAGAAGGCATACATACATGAAGTTTTAGCTAAAGATATGCATAGTTTTAACAGATTGGATGTTAGCAAGAAGAGGGGTTTTTGCTTTCTTTATCATAAAAGGAAATATATTTGTTACAACTACGGTTGCACAGAAGGAACAGAATAATATAAAAAGCTTCTAGTCAAATATTATACTCTTTCTTATTCTGCATTACTCCTGCTTATTTTGATTTGCAAAACGATTCTGAAAATTCTGCATCTCTTAGTGCTAAAGTATAATATATAAAATAAATGCAAAGCCCATTTCCTGAGTTACATGACTTCCTCATGTGATGGAGGAAAGTTCATTCCTTCTAAGATATATCTAACAATATGACCAGAAACTAAAGTGAAGTTAGCACACATACATACTTGTATATGTACATACATACCCTAAACACAAAGCTTAAAGTACACTTTCTTTCCTTTCACTCTACCACTTGAGTGTATTAAACATTTTACAGAACAACCTACATTTACAATAAAGTAAGGCAAAACTTCTGTCTATAGGTGATCTCTGTATACATGATCAAGAATTATGCAACCTATTAGCTCAGTTCAAATGCCCTGACAGCAAACCATGTATGTGAAACAGCCTGCTGTAATAGTTATAATCAGAGAAATGCAGAACTTTGTAGTATTTCTTCAGCTGTAGACAGTTACAAGTAAAGCAAATCTATTTGTCTTTTTAGCTTTTATTGTATATACTTTTTGCTTACACAAAACATATGAAAATAGAGATAATTATTTCTAATTTCCAAAGGATTAACAGCGTTTTTGTAGTCAAGCCATACAGTAGAAAAACCAGACTAAAATTACATTAGCCCAAAAGTTTTAATTTTAGATAAACTTTATTAAGTTAGTATAGTAACAGTAACTTAATGGCACAGTATTCTTTTAAAACTGATCAAACCCACTACAATTGATGCAAACCATATCCATGACATTACAACGTAACGACTGTAGACATATGATTTAAGATACCACCATTACATTTTAAAATTAGTATCTTACAGTCAAATGGCTGAAAATAGATTCCATTTTCCAAAGGTAATTACAGAATAAATAATTAAGTTGCTTTTCCCTGAAAAGTTATTTGGTTGTATAACTAATTCAGGCAAGAAAAACAATATCCACATTCAGTCAACTACCTAAATAAGAACAATCATATACATTGTACAAATGGATGGCACAGTTATTCACCAAAACCCTAAAGAAAGATCTATCTAATGACATGTATAAACAACAAATAATTACTTCCAAATCTTGATTTAATTCAACATTCAATTCAGACTTTAATTCAACATGAATCCAACTGCTTCAGAAAATGGCTTTTAAAAAATGTAGTTGAGAAAGCTTTTACAACAGTGCAATTACTGTGACAACATATAAAAGGCAAAACAAACCTCGAAAGACTGGTGAAAATTCGTTGCATCCACCAAATGAAGCATTCCGGACAAGTTTTCGACCATCACTTCGTGGAGGAAGCGAAACCCCAGCACATGAAGAAAACCTACGCCGCAGTGGACCTTCTTCCTTCATTAGTTAGATGCTCTGTATAATGATTGCTGTTATTCAGAAGGGTGGTAGTAATAAGAATGTCGCAGGAAAAGCCGTTGCCCTCACATTCAGATTAGCAACATGCAAGATCAAGTTCCACGTGTGCACTTGGAACAAGAAGATATAACCAAGGCTGATAATAAAGCCAAGAGACATTTAAGAATTCAATTCAAACTGCTGCCATCAATAACAGTTGATACTTCATTCAGCATACCCCAAGACAAGCTGTTACTCCTTATTGTTTTGCAGGTACCAGACAACTGCCATGACATAGCACATCAGAATGGAGGAGTCAAAGTAATTCCTCCACTAGCTAATAATTCAAGCACTCTTTTAAAGCATACAGAGCAAGTTTTCATGAATATGCTTTAAAAATTCAGATAAGAAAGTGAAGACTGCCACTGAGAATACAAAGATGGATTTCTCCTTAAAAGGGAAACTTTATATTCACAATACTTTATGTCAGTATTGCCAACAATAATTTCTATGGATTCTAAATCCACTTAAAGAACTTTGCAAAACATTATTTAGGCATTATGTACAAGATACATTTTAGTAGGCAGTCACTGACTCAAAATGTCTTTTAAGCAATAATACAAAATGTTATTGCTTAATAACTAACACACTATTTTGTGTTAGTTACTGCCAAGAATGTGAAAAAAATATATTGATGACCACCCTTCAGTAAACAGATTTCTTCCCCATTAAAATAGTTTTGAACACACAGGTAAA